CCGTTGAGTTTCAGACAATCTTCACTCGTTCACGACACACACTAACATATCAATCAACATTTAAGTGTTCAAGGCCTTTAATTGCTACAGTGGTAGAAGTGAAATGACACACTTAAGTCACAAGGTATATAGGACATAAAAAATAAACAATAAGAATAAGAGATAAACATAGTCACAAATTGCATTTATTCACTGTGATCCGACAGTAAATGTTCAAATTTAAAACATTACTGGAAAATGGCAAAAATGCTCCCCTTGAAACATAAATAAAACCTCTGGGAGAGATGCAAAGAGATTGAAAATTTTCAGATTCAAGGAAATGTAGAGTTCAGATTTGTGATTTATAACTTGTTAAGTCGGGAGGAACCAGTGCAGAGAGGGGATTTTGAGTTTGTGGTATTAAAGCAACCAAGCAGGGTTCTTTAATACCACTGACTAACATCTGTGTGTATCTACATTCACAGTGCAATATGTGATTTCATTTCACTATCAAGAATTCCTTTACGAAATGCGAGTGCTTACATTTTGCAACCCCCAATGTGTGTCTTCTTTTCCCAATGTTTTTCAAAAGCACTTTGGCCTTGTTGTTAAAATTGTTTACACAAATAAACTGACCTTGTCTAAAACATTCATGGATCTTTTGCTGATTGCACCTGACATTTAAGGAGCCCATTTTTGCCACTCCAAATCGAAGATTTACATAAACAACAAAGAATATTTAAATAGAAACGACAAACCAGACCAATATATTTCTCTTTTTTGATAAGCAAATGGCTTCACACAAAAAAAAAAAAAAAAAAGAAAGTTCAAAAAAGTGTAACATAACCATGTCTCAACACAACAACAAATGCACAATTCACAAACCAGGCTTGTTTTAATATGCAACAACCATTTTATTTTTTTACAATGGAAGGGAGGTTAAAGTCTGTTTTTTGGATTAGTTAAAATGTAATATTGTGTATTTTCACGATAGTTGTACCTTAATCTGAGCGTAGAGACCCTCGGCCATTATCCTCGTCTGCGCTGGCCCATTCCCATCAGAGCTACCTCTAAGGCCAAAGTCAGGTAGGACTCCCCTCCATCAAGCAGCTGCCTCACACGGAACATGGTGGTAGACCGGAGGCCTGAGGTCACCATCCTGAGAGAAGTGAAGAAAGAAAGAAAGGTATTTACCGTTAGACCAAAAGAAGATGTGTTTAAAAAATCCAGAGAAATACTAATTGTTATTCACAATGAACTGATATAGTCCATTGTGTTTCCGAGATGAGCCTAACTGCCCTCTAATCTATACCGACCAACAAAGATCACAACAAAGATAATAGTTCCTGTACTTGAGGTGACAGTCACATTTCTGGAAAAGAGACCTGCTCTCAGAGTTTTTCAAATGGTTTTGATGTTGCTCAAAGTGCCCCAAAATAGATATATGAAAGCCATATAATTCTCAATATATTGAAGAAAAAGGCACACATCTCTAAGTGTCATATGTTACTAAAACGACCAAATGTTGATTTATTGAATTAAAAAAAAAACAATGGGAAAGAGGAAAATATGTATTGTTTGAATTTGGGGTGAACCTCTCCAATTAACATTTTCAGAAGAAAATTAATGCTTGGTATGTGACCTGGGTTATTTTAAGCAATAGCTCACGACAGGTCGTGGTTACTATGCTCATTATATCACAGCTAAGGGGCGTGGTTCGGACCCGAAGCGAAGCCGTGCATAATATCACGGCCTGTAAGTGAGCCTATTGCTTTATAAAACGGTACCAAGTGTGGCAATATGAAGAAGAATACACACTCGTAATTTAAATAGTTTTTATTAGTAAATGAATTATGTTCAAAATAAATAGTCCCTCCGTTTGCCTTCCTGCACAAAACCATAGTGCGACGTGGTTGCTATGCATCGACATCCTAAAAGCTGGCGAACATATTAGTACAGAAGAGCGTTGATCCATTATTTGGCGTTACTTTACATTAATGTGTTTGCCCCGTTTATTGTGCACCCACTGAAAAACTTGTCCATGCAATAGTACAGTAGCATGGGGCTTACGTGGTCACTTGTAGGAACTGAGGTTGTTCTAAGGCCTGTGTGGTGTGGCGAGAAATATTGCTTCCACTTTCTTCTGGTCCCTCGAGATTGGGCTTCCAAGTAAGGCTCTGGAGAGAAGGGCTTTCGCAGCCCTGTGGCCACTAAGCGGTACCGTTAGGTGGCCACAGCTTTTGAATGCGTGTTAAGGCTTTTCCAGTTTGGTCTAACCCTGCCTCTTCAACGTACTCGGCATGTCGTCAGTTTGGTGATTTTTTTTTTCTGGAGATAGGCACTGCTAAATCACTCCTCCCCAATTAGTAAGACCCGCCCCGGAGGTCGAAAGTATCTTAAATGTTGTTCCATCTTATGCTTTGTAAGTTGTTTAGTAACGGCAAAAAAAAATTTAAATATATTTAATAAAACTGACAAGTCAAACAAGCCAATCCTGATTGGTCGCTAAGTGTCCCTTTGCGGACCACCTTTGATTACAGATTGACAAACATCGTTGCTGCTTTAAAGTAAGCAGCAATTCATTATGTCAAATCCTTGGAAAGTGTACTAAGAATATCCCTGCCCCTACGTTGCCCAAAAGGAAGCTGCGACCAATTGAATATGTTTTGGACCTTTGATGTCATGTCTGGATCCGCTGCGTAAAAACGGAGGCTTTCTGCCCGCGTACTTCTCCGCTTGCTTCTGTTCCAGTTTGCTTTTCAACCCCAAAAAGGTATCACTGTTTTTCTCAAGACGCGGAAGGGATAAGCTGACTTGTTGTGAAAAGTAAACTTAGCAATTCTACCCGTGGTAACGCTCAGTATATCACCGGCTAAGAACGCAATTCAGCATTGCTTGATTTGACTTGTCGTTTTTATAAATAAGCTAGTAACGGCTTTCCTTTAAATATGAACACGACGTATGCCATGTTGACAGATCACCCAATTTACAGTAAATGGACATCTAACCACCCTACAGCATGCTCCGGCTGCCCTAAAGGTTTTTTGAAGGAAGGCAGACTTGCCACGAGAGTCGCAGCGTTGATTGGGTGCCCATTTGTTCCTCGTCGCACACCCACCCCCATAATCTGTGTTAGAATCCCCTGTGAGCAATCAGATCAGCCACTCCAAATCCGCTTATTCCACGATGTGGTGGCAAGTGCGTGTGTCAGTGAAGAAATGCCGGGGAAAAGTGAAAAACTGATTTTACAGGCCCTTAACGCCGCCAGCGCTATCGATGTTTGTTGTTTTGTATGGTGGGGCTGACGTGTGATTGGTTGATTTGAACTGATCAGAGAGTGAACTGCATTTTCATTGGTCGACGCATAGTCGTGTGGCCCAGCCTCTTTTAACAGATGTTCCCAGCTGTCTTCCAGAGGGAAATAAAGCATGGTGACCGGGCTAAGCCAACACTCAGAACATAGCCATATACATTCTCAAATTCCCAAAACAACATAAGACAATCATTCACTCTATCCCCACAACACACATACATTCAAACACACACACTTGCACCAATGAGTGTGCCAGCATTGTTTGGGTTGACAATAGTTCCCTGTAGCCTGCTAACAATGGGAAAACCCAACCCCTATTCTGCTCTGTTGCATAGCCACTGGTGAAAAAAGGGTGGGAAATGCAAATGGTGATAGATCCTATACATACCCCCCACACACACACACAAACACGAACACAACAGGAGTGTGGTCTAAATGATCAGGGTGTTTCAGCACGATCCATTCATGCTCTGCTGGTTTATGGCCTGTCTGCAGCACAATAGCGCCCGCTTCTGATATAAGAACATGGAGTCTGTTGTCTAATGAGTCACTGCTGGTGTACCCGCTCACCTCTGGATTACACCGCATCAGCTGGTGAAGTGGTGAGGAATTATACCCTGTGTTTTGGCAAATTAAGCTCTTTGACCCATGTATTGTGAGGGAGGTCGAGTATGTGTTTGGCTGAAGTACATGTACATGGCTTTCGCTTAGTGGACAGCAGGTTACCATACTAATGGCAGTACAAAAGTGGACATTCAGAGAGGGAATGATTCTGATCTTAATGTGTGCATTAAGGTGGCTATAACTAACAATACTTGGAACATAAAAGGTAATTTGACATGTCTGAATTATATTGAAACATTTACATCTGGCTGTGTCTACCTTTAATTTCCTGTCTCTAGAAATGGTTAGGTTGCTGCAGCTCTGACCAGCACTCAATACTAATGGCTGCTCATAATGGAGGAGACGTGGGAGGTGAAGCTTATTCTCAGCTCACCAGGTCACCATGGTAAAAATCCCTGTTAAAATGGCTATTTCAATGTGAAATAAAATATGAACCTAAAGTCACACTAAAGATGTATGCACAAGCCTTAAATTATAACAAGCCTTCTCATAATCTTCTATTAAGATCCGAAGCACATTAGAAAACAACACATCTCAGTTTGACACTTATTTTGTGTTTCTGGAATTTAAATGTTCTAAGAAATAAGAATAGAAAAATGTAAATAAGAAAACCTAAGCCAATCAATAATAATATAAAGTACAAACATTTTATTTGTTTTGAATAGTTAGAATTCTTGAGCTCACTGAGCATTCAGAAAGTATTAGCGTTTGTCTTTTTATGTAATCAATATTTTATCAGTAGATAATATTTTCAAATATTAAAACTCCAATCTTATTCACACTTTACTTTTACGTTTTCATGCCATCATTTGACACACAGCCCACTGGAGTAGATCCTGACATTTGCTTCCCTTAAATTGAATTGATATCATTTAATAATTTAATTTATATATATTTAATTTATATAAATTTAATAAAAATGTAATGGAATATTGAGTTACCGAAAGACCTAAACATGTCCGCCTTTTTCCCTTTTATTATGTTGAATCGAACCGTAGGACGATTCTCTGAGTTGTTATGATTTGCCATAACAAATCCTATAGAGAGAGAGAACTATTTCAAAAGTAGAAACCATTTCTTGTTTTCCTACCTCCCGTATCCATGGTGCTGTCGTCGTCCACACGGCAGGTTTCGGTGAGGGTGACGAACAGACAGCCAATCGGGTCTAAGGGATGACCCACCCAGCCCTCCAGGTTGGTGGTGGAGGTCACGCCCCTCTGGAGGAGATCTGAGAGTGGAGGATAAATGTTAAAAAAACATTAAACTAACTCCGGAAAACAAACAGCATATATTTAAATACAAATGTGTTTGTGGCGTACCTTTCTTTTGGTGTTTGTAGATGTCCATCTGTCTGTGCTGCTGTAGGCGGAGTGTGTTGATGATGGCGACGGCCAATCGTAATGCCTCCCTGGAGTAGCCGTGGGAACGCAGGGCGTCGACGCGAGCGCAAGCCGTCGGGACGTGGTCTGTGTGTGAGATGAAGGAGAGTCAGCACAGCTTTACACACACACACACGAACAGAGTGACATACACACACACACACACACACACACACACACACACACACACACACACACACACACACACACACACACACACACACACACACACACACACACACACACACACACACACACACACACACACACACACACACACACACACACACACACACACACACACCAGAGTGTGTCTGATAGCTGGCTTAAGTTGCAGAATCCGACAGATCTTAGCTGGAAGCTGCTTACTGCAGATACTGGCCTTAATATCAGCAGAATGTGTGTGTGTGTGTGTGTGTGTGTGTGTGTGTGTGTGTGTGTGTGTGTGTGTGTGTGTGTGTGTGTGTGTGTTGTGTGGTGTCTGTGTTGTGTGTGTTGTGTGTGTTGTGTGTTGTGTGTGTTGTGTGTGCTTGTTGTGTGTGTGTGGTGTGTTGGTGTGTGTGTGTGTGGTGTGTGTGGTGTGTGTGTGGTTTGTGAGAGATGGGTGCAGTAGGCGGCGTCCGGAAGTGGGCCGTGGCGCTGGCAGGTTCCCAGTTAATACACGGGGCTGTATCGATTTATCCGCTTTTTGAATATCTCTCGCGTCGGCAGAGATGGATGCTTGGCTGTCTTTTTTTCGCACTTTTATATGTTGAGGGCAAGCATTTGCTGCTTTACTGTATCCCGTTAACGAAATGGAGGTGTCAGCAGTTAGCACACAAAACGGGGGGTTGGCCGCGAAACTCTTTTGTATTGGCAGGGCCAAATGGCGCATGTAGCAAGATGATTGTAATATCCTTTGTTTCGGATAACCCTTTCTTTTGTTGCCATGGTTAAGGTTCTGAGATTAAGAGGCTGCTCCTCCTGTGTGTTTTTGCTCGTAAAAAGAAACAGATATTCAGAACACTTCGGGAGCACTATGAGATGGGGTGGAAGCACACCAGTGCCACAAACAAAGGAGACACGTGTTTGATAATTTTAGGTAATTTAGTAATCATACAAAAAAGAATGTTATTNGATCTTAGCTGGAAGCTGCTTACTGCAGATACTGGCCTTAATATCAGCAGAATGTGTGTGTGTGTGTGTGTGTGTGTGTGTGTGGTTGCTCACCGAGCCACAACGGCAGGCCCTGGGGGTTGAACAGCAGGCTCTCCCCCTCCCTCTGGTAGGATGGAGACATGTAGTGGTCGCTGCTGATGATCCTCTGGAGGTGGCTGTCCTGCCAGTGGAGGTCACACGCCTCCACGGCCCGGCTGAACACCGACCTCCTCGGCCTGGTCAGAGAATCTGGGAAAAACAGCACACACACAGGGTCAGTAAAAGCGCCATGTGGTCCTATCATATCTGTCCAGGCAGTGTATTCATATTTTGATTACAGAGTAGAATGTGTGTTTGTGCTGACCCTGTGCCAGGCTGCTCTGCGGCAGAGCGTTGGTGATGTTTGGAAGCTCGCTGCCGTAGTTGCCATCCTCCAGCGGGCAGATGTCCATGTCGCCCCATTTCTTCAACTGCTTCAGCCAGCCGGTCTTCTCCTCGCTCTTACAGTGGGGGTTAAGCACCACACACACCCACAATGCACCTGGGGGGTTAGAGAGGCAGTCAGAGGTTAGGAAGGAAGGTTTTGTAGTACTGTCTAATATTGGACCAGGGAAGTGTCCAAGCTGGCGGAATTCTACTAGTACTAAAAAAAAACGCTGTTCCTCAAAACTTACAAACATTATGAAGCTTTTTTCTTTTTATGAAAGTAATCAATTTGCCATTACAATTCCTTGATCACAAGAGAAACCTCAATGCTGTCACTCCTGACCAACTGATTTCAGTTTTTAAATGTAAGGATAAACGGTTCATTCTTTCTTCATACTAGATTTTTGCGGTTTTAAGACTGAGTCCATACAATAATCTGTATATTTTTGTGGTTTTTTAAAAGATATTTTTGGGGCCAGAGATTGCCTTTATTGAGACAAAGAGTGAAAGGGGGAGACAGAGGACAGGACATTGCCTGTAATGTTCGGGTACAAGATTGTGTACTATTAGTATTTGAAATGAATAAATAAACAAATTAAAGGCATATAGGCATTTTTACTATTTTTCGATATCTCATTGATAAACAATGTATCTATTAATTCAGAAAGCTCGCCAAGGCTAAATCAGAAGCCTTTTGAAATACAAATAATAAGGCAAAAAACTCAAATAAGTGGTTTTAAAATATTCATTTAGTCATGTTATTATGCCTGAAAAGCTGAAGAATGTGCTGCTTTTTGTTTCTCCCATTGACTCTGCCATGGCCATTTATTAAAGCTAGAGTCAAAAGCTTGCTGGCCTTCTCCATTAACTTCACTACACTTTAAGTACCTGCTCTCCATACACAGGCCTGGAGCGGGGTCAACTGTCAGATGTCTGCATCTCTGAGGAAAAATGATCAGGCGGCAAACCCTGAGTGTCTGGCTGTTATTTCTGTCTGTGTCATGATCTCCCTCGCTCACCCAGGAAGTGTTCTCATTGACCTCCTAAATGCTGGGATTGATTGCAGAAAAGCTGAGCAGCCCTATTGATCGGCAGCCTTTATTATTCAGTCTGTGAGCGGAGCGAGAGGAGAGCAGGAGGAGAAGCTGCTGACTGGAGGACCTAATAGCTCACTGACTGGATGAACAAGGTGACTGTCCATTTGTCTGAGTACCTGACAGGCCGGACACTTCTGTGGGCCTGGCTGTCTGACCAGCAACATAGCTGAGTGGCCAACTCGTAAACAAACTGGGAAAGCACACTAAGTAGAGTCTAGATCTCTGGTGTGTCCACCTCCTTTATTACATTTAGCTGATGCTTTTACCCAAGCAACTGTTAAGCATTTAAACATGAAGATGCAAACTAAAAAAACTGTTGGTGAGAATATCCTTGTCCAAATGATGGGCCAAACTTGGACTTTCTGACCCCATACACGACTCCCTTGCAGGTAAGATTGTAACAAAGCAAACAAAAACATGGATTTATTTATCCCATGTTGTGCCTAACACAGTGGTTCTCAAACTTTTTCTGTCAGGCCCCCCCTTTGGAGAAAAAAAAAAGTCGGGCCCCCCCAACACAAATAGTCAGGCTCAGTGGCGGCGCCAGAGATTCTATTTTGGGGGTGCTGTGGGGTAGCTTGACGTTTCATAGAGGGTGCTCAAACATTTAGGGTTTCCCATTAATGTACTGGTCGCTACAGTGGAATGTTCTACTGCAACAATCCCCACACACACACACACAGTGTACCCGCGACTGTTACAATGAAGGCTCGATAATCAGCTCACGGCATATAGGTGTAAGCAGGGGTAAAGTGTTATTTTTATAGGTGGTGTGTGGACCTCACATAGGGGGGTCAGGGGGCAAGCTCCCCTGGGAAGATTTTTAAATATTGAAGTTAAAAGCATCAATCTGGTGCACTTTGAGAGCAACATGAAGAGATCTATGGATACATCTCTCAACACCCATTTGAAACAGAACTGTAAACAGATTTACTTTTTCTTTATGGATATTTTACAAATCACTCCCTTTTTAACGTTATTCTTTTTTTAATGTCATATAGTATTTCATACCTGTTTTTAATTTATTCTCTTATTTTTTTATAACTATAATGATCATATAAACGTGGGGCCTCGGAAATAATTGTTTACATTAATGGTGACCAAAACGTTTGAGACCCACTGAGATAACACTGAGAGTCCTTTAGCTCACTGAGTCTCTCATTCTGACAGGAGAGGACTCTCCTCCACTTTGTTGTTGAAAAAACTCCTTATATCCGTTAGCGTAGCTCGCTAGCACCAGAAGCTAACAACAACGATCTCCGGTACCGGTGCGCTCTCACTCGCGCACGCACACAAAATGGCTCGTTCCACACACACACACAGAGCCAAACTTTAATGAAACACAGAGACCCAGACGTAATAGTACTGTATAATATTATTTTCGAATCAATAATTTTTAAAACATTTTTTTTTTATGTTTTTTTTTTTTTATAACCATTTTTCCTCCTGGTCTCTCGCGCCCCCCCTGTCATGCCTCTGCGCCCCCCTGGGGGGGCGCGCCCCCCACTTTGAGAACCACTGGCCTAACATAAGTGGATTTGAGCATATCAAGTTTGAAATGAATCAGAAGGTTTCAAATGATATCACATTATCTATGGAGTTCAGTATTAATCAACAAAAAATGTTAATGTGGCGTGTAACAGACTAGGTACCATGTATTAGTTATGGTTAGATTAGTACCCCTAGTGAGGGGTATTTGCTCTTGATTTTGTCTTATGATTGTTCTTGTATTTTATGTGTTTGTAAATTAAATTAATTGAGTAGGTAAAGTTTGTTTTTAGCCTATTGATAGCTGGAAATGCCTTTTGCTACTGAGGAGTAAGAGAAAATTGAGGCTGATGGGTTCATCAGTTTTTGACATTAGCTGTGGACAGACACACACTGGTGAAGATAATAACACATTTTTACAATGTGTTTTCTTTCTGACATTTTTCTCCGACTGTTCTTACCAAGTTCATCCCATAGCTGACGACACTTGTCTGTCATGCCCGTGCCTTGCTGTCTCCATAGCGACAATCGAGGGTCTGCCATAAACTGTTCCGTTATGAGCGTCAGCATTCGGGCTCCGTTGGAGTCTCGCATTCGTAGCATCTCTCTCACCTGTAAAGACCCGGAAAGAGAGGGTCATTTAGGGTCAACATGAGGTTACACTCCAGATATTATAAACCCCTGTGAATACCACTTAGACATAGATCTTGAGCACTTTCTTATTCTGAGTAAAGTGAGCTTGTTGGACTCAGACAAAGACTAAGAAAAGGACATTTATGAATCCTCAATCAACTTGCAAAACCATATTCAAGACTTGTTAATGCCTTGAGTTTGAATATTACAGTTAAAGAGATCTTAAGATGTTCTTGTGCAATTCTCCCGGTGGGAAACCATACTTTTAAAAAGAGACGCAAAGTTGAATGGATGCCAAGGGAAGAGTGTCTCAATTTAAAAGTCTGTGAATCACTGCATTCTCTGAAAGAAGTGAATAAGTGGTGGGTTCAAGAGGAAGTAAGAAAGAAGTCAGAAGAAATTCTGAAAGAAGGATATAATATGATAGATTGATTTTAAACAACTTCATGAAATGACTTCATTATTTTAAAAAGGGGCATTTAACTGATTTAGAGGAAGGTGAAGATATATTTTCATGTATATACGATACATTCATCGTTTTCAATAGCCACTATGGAGTATGGGAAATGTAGAATTTAGCTAGAGCCATACTAGTGTCTACAAGTCAGGACATAGATTTTGACTACTGTCTTTTCTTAAGTCTCCTGTGAGTCCCCAAAGTTTTAACTAAGTCCAATACTAAATCACGTAGAAGAAGTAAAAAATGTCAACAAGAAATCCTCAAGACAATATTCTTTAGAGTTAAACAATTATTTTACTCATTTGTGTCATGATTGATGATTTTGACAATAGTAATGAAATAAAAAGATCTATTGTGACAGAGACAGGAAGAGGCGGTGCTTACCTTCGCGAACATGGAGTTGAGTTGCTTCCCAGAGCCATAGTATCCTCCCTGTGACAGAAACTGTTTGACTTGCTCCCTGACTTGATCCTCATCCAGATGCCAGCAGTTGTCATCATCAATGCTGGCGCCTGCAGTCGGGTCCGGAGCGCCTGGAAATACACACACAAATTAAACTACAGGCACAAACAGTGACGCAACAACAGATCTTATAGCAGTCCAATCTAAAGTTGTTACTCGGATAATGTTCTCATACCAATTTGTTTTACATTGAAGTTGCAGTGCGCCTGTATTTGAGAAAAGCTGCTTCTTTTATGCTAATCATGCCCTAAGAAATATTTTAGGGCATATTTATTTTTCTTCAGTTCTGCACTGTGTGCCTGAGTTATACTTCGGGGAAATGCAGATATGCTCAGAAGGGGGAAGCTGCTTTGATCTAGCAGGAAGCGAGCTGAGGAAGGCCCAGAGATGTGTTTCCAACCGGCTAAGAGTACGCAACAGCAAACAGTAACATTATTCCCCCATCAAAGCAAGCCTCGCTCCTGGAACGACTGAACTTCAACCCCCATGATCCCCCTTGTCAAACAGAGACAGGAAACACGGCGTGGGGCTTCCTGGACAGGAGAGCTGGAGAATGTCAACATTTAGCGCGGAGGATGAAATAGAGACGCAGAAGTAAAGTTTTGTTTGGTGAAAGGATGTGTATGCTTTGTCGTTTTCCCCGACGCGGGTCTGTTGAGGTTCTCCTGTTTTTCATCTCGGTAAATTTCCCGGTTCTTTCATCTTTCCTCTCCTTCCCGTGTCCCAGAGAGCCATTTCTCCCCGTCTCTTCCTCTCAGTGTCCCTTTTCCTTTTCACACATCTATCTCTAACTTCTCCTGCATCCATTTCATCCTTGACCTCTTTTCCCCCCTGCCTTCTTCAATGCCACTGGAAGGAGGTAGTCACGGGAGAGGAGGAACTAAGAAATCAAACAAGTCATTTGAAGCCTGACTTGCTGCTTTGACGAAGAAATCAGGACTCTGACGCATGATGTAGCATGTTTAAAGTCTTAAGCTTTTAAGTCTGGCCTGTTGCTGTGAAGATATCACTGCCGTGGGATGGACAGCACATCAACTTTTCAAACGTGGACTTCGTGGATAAAGTTGTCATGAGCTCAGTTTGCCACAATGTTTCCTCTCACCGTGGACCTGGTTGATCTCAGAGTTGGAGGAGAGGATCTCGTCTGCCAGTTTCTGAGCGGTGGGCAGCACCTCGGTATGGTGCGCCGTGATCAAGTACTGCACCAGCTTCTGCAGCTGATCTCTGTTCATCTGGAACAACGTCTCTGAGATAGGCAACCGCAGCTTCACCTGTATCAGATACACACATGGAGATGTTGATGTATGAAGTTTCAACTAAAAACCTATTGTTATTTTAAGTTGGTCTATGACATTTTCAGAAGAGTAAGTAGCCCTCTCCTGCAGTATGTGACATTTGTGTGACTTTTTATTGAGTGTGTTCACATCAACAGCAAGTTTATGACCAGTTTTTTGGAATATTCTTATATGTGTGTACATGTAAACATCACTTATCCAGTGAATTAAAAAATATATATGCACCCCAAAGTACCCCAAAAGAAACCGGATTCCGTTTCATGTATAAACCTGAGCCAAGGGCCATATCACACAAGCATTTAAGATCTGGAGCGTTACATAAACATAGGTTTGTCTTTTGGTAATAAAAGAGACGTTGTTGTCTCCCACTGTTCTGCGCGGTTGTCATGACAATAGTATAATAAAGGGATAAATATGAATAACCAAATGTATCTACGCTCAAAAACACAATATCCCAAATACAAATTGGAACCAGGATTAGCCTCATAAACAGGTTATTCATATCCTTGCAAATGCACTTGTAGACATATAGATATATTTTGTACATTACCTGTTCAGGCTTGCGAATCCTGTAAAGAGAGAGCGCCACCACATGGGCGCAGTAGAAAATGTCTCTGTTCCCGCAACCACAGGTGACGGAGGTGATCTTGCATCGGTCGAAGCTGATGGCCACCTTGTGGGTGACCTCTGGATCTGATGATGTGGCGGGTTCAGTTACTGTGCCACTGAGGTGAAACCCTGGGGAGGAAGAAGGAGAAGATGAGTGAGCTTCAACATTCAATCACAAAGAAAAGTCTTGTTGGATTCACATTTAATCATCCTGACTTTTTATAGTTGATAATGCAACAGGTAACTGCACAGTTAATGTTTAAGCTAAGTTTAAATGAGTTCCCATCGTTATGAATAATTATTTGCAAGAGCTCAAATGATGATCTCAACACGTATCATGTTCCTTGGTTTCCTAAAGTTAACATCAACGCTTCCCGTTTCCTTTATATTAGCTTCTACCCAGATCTTGTGAATGGACTACCAATAGAATAAGAAACAAAAGAGAAGGAGCATCTGTGGTAATCTGAGCCTCTTCAAACCTACAGAATGAACCTTTGGTACAGAACACACACATCTTAATGAGACATCTCCAGTAAGACACTGTGCCATCTGATACTCCCTCTACCTTTCTCTCCTATGTCTCTATGCATTTGTGTGTATGCAGTGAATGGGGGGTTGATAGGTTGTGATCATTTCCTTCCTGCCCACACACTCAGCCCCGAGGATTGAAGGATAGTAGCCTGGAGAGATGAACTCTGCTTTGCCTAGTTCATATTTAGGGCCTCCGGCGCAAACTGAGCTGACCACTGGCCGTTGGCAGCTGTTGGGCTGTTGTTGAGAGTCTGTGATCAACCATTGCTTGTACATTTAAATGGTACATCAGGCATTACTGGCTTCTGTTTGCCCTAATAAACCACACGTTGGCCTTTTGGCATGTTGAATTGGCTGGATAGACTATTGGCGCATTCGATTCCCTTACGCGTGATTATCTTGACCATCCGCAGACCAACAGCTGTAGTTTTTGCAGTCGGAAGGGCACTTATGGCCTTTCAAAGGGTTTCCAAATTAAACTCACCAACAGGTCGTTTCAAGTTGCAGGAGAAAATAAATACTCAACTGTGGAGTACCCCATGGCTTTGACCTAGGGCCACAATGCTTTGCTGATGACACGAAACTTAATGATTCCGTAAAATTAGGAGCAACAAAGCAGAAGTCGGATGTCCTTAAAGACATTTAAGAACATCTTAACATTCATATATCAAATAACTTCTTAAAGCTCAATGGAAAAATAAATCAGCTTGATCCTGTTTGTGTTATACTTATCAGCATTTGACACATTTTATAACCTGGCAGCCTCAATTAAGCCTAGTTCCAGAAATGTGGGGTCGTTTATTCTTATCCTACCTTAATTTCCTAACATTTAAATAGTACAGTCCAGTATTTTGTTGGTTGATGCTAACCTAAAATAAAGTCACATTGAGTTTTAACTACATTAAATGAAGCAAACGATTCAAGCCCTTTCATTGCAATCTACTACAGTGTGTTGTATTGCCAAGACACTAAAATAAATGGTGTGACAAGATAATAATACAAAAAAAAGGTAAAATCATATTAAAGTGGAACAAAACAAATAGCATAAGTTAAAGAATGGTGAGGAAACGGAGAGTATTGAGGCTGAGATGGGGGAGAAATGAGAGAGGAGAACAGAGAATAGAGGAGCGGAGAGTGCATCTGGTCTGTCCTGCCGTCTCACTGTGACAGGTCAATTATTTATGCAGTGAGGTGTGCATGTGTGTATGTGTACACATTGGATTACTGTATCTAACCAAACCATGGCAACCCGACTGCTGCTTTCAAGCCAGAAATGACAGAGGAGAAAGAGAGACATAGAGGAAGGACAGGCCATCTAACAGGGAAGCGATGATATGGTTATTCTGGGCTTGGGCTAAAAAAAAAAAAAGTACATGTCTGTCTGATGCTAAAGAAAACAAACACCAACATACACACACTAGTGTGGTATAGCAGCCCAGATACCCCCATAAAGACACTCACACACACCAACAAGCACACAAAGGTTGAGATCCTATCAACTGCAAACTGCTTTTACTATGATGAACGAAGAAAAATAAAGAGCAGCAGGAGTACAAGGGAGGGATCTGACCAGAACATGGAGGGTTATCCAGGGCTGATGGGTGGGTTTTTCACACACTGCTGAACTAAAATATATTCTGGAACCAGACCAAATATGTTACTTCTCACCAGCACAGTAGCCACCCACTATTTCCACCTAAATACCAGATTGCAAACATGAAAGTACCAAAACGGCATATAGCAGACACTTCAGAAAGACTGAGTTTAGACAAAAATAGCATTGCCTTGAAAAATGGAAGTGCCTATTTTGGTGTGGGTGTGCTGCTACGTGTACAACTTTGGGTGATACTTATTATCCAAACTGGAATTTCAGGATCATATGTATGGTATTTTTCATGCTAGCAAACACTTTGCTGTCAACTATGCCAATGAGGAGGGCATCTGACTATGACATGGGATATGCATCTTCCAGACAGAAAATAAAACATCCAAAATGGTTGAAATCTCCCCCTCCCACTGAGTCAAATAGTCAACAAATCTTTGTGTTTAGCTGTGAGGGGTAATATCAGATACATATGTAAAAAAAAAAAAAGACTTTCCATTCCTTCCCAATGTCTTCATAATGGATATACCTTTAGAGGCAATTTTCACTAAACACAGCATGGTGTAAAATAGTCCAAATGTGATCTTCCAGAGCTGAAATCATCACAGCGGAGAGCACAGGATCAGGCAAAAATCGGGGGAGTGCAATTCTTAAATGCATCAGGGGAACATTTGAGAGCTACCTTCCCTCCAAGCTGTCTAAATAATGTTTCGCCAGTCATCATTCATCGCTACACTATTCTCCAGAAAAAGTTCTTATGTCAGATGATATTGGGTATAAAGCATTTCCCACAGCTGGGAATGCTGCTCTCTCTTTCTGTCTTGGCTTTGGACCTAGACCACCCCCCCTTCTCTCTCTCTGTCTGCGTCTGTTAGGTTAAAGCCTATTGTTACTCAGACCACAGGGATGAATGTGATGGTGACACCATTGCTCTTTTCACTTTCAATCAAGTCTAAAATGGCGCACACACAAAGTTCGTCTGTCTGGCACCCCTCCCCTTTTTCCTGTTTCACACACAAAATCTGCAACAAAGATGGGTTTCATTATCTGTAAGTTAGCTGTTTTTGGAATTCATGCCTCAGTTAAGTCGTTTCCCACACAAGATGGCCATTCCTAAAAGATTAGGTTAAACTCATGCGAGACTTAATGTCTGACTCATGAGACCAAGTATTTCTGGTATTTTAAACACGTTGAATGAATGAGCCAACATGTTTGATATATGTTGTGATATAGATGGAGACCTAGATAAGAACCTTGAGGTACTCCACAGATCGATAATTTATATAGCCCAATATCACAAATTACACATTTGCCTCAGTGGTTTTGCAGATTATACAGCATATGCAACTTTCCATCCCTATTGATATGATATGGATTATAATATTTGATATTCCTTTCCATGAAATCTGTATCCGAAAGCTTAATACTCAATGTATTTTTAAAAAACTAAATCCATTCTTTTTATTTTTCCACTCTCACATAAAGAGTGCTTCTGCCTGTGTGTATGTGTGTTTATGTAAAGGCTGAGGGAGACAGTGTGTCTTTAGCAGATGGGGATGCAATGGCACTTGATGAAAAAGACACTGCATCAGACAGTCTGCAAGCACACATACACACAGTGAAGAAACAACCTTTTCAGAGCCCATCTGCTTTTCTTCTTAATACCAGTGACGAAACGACACTAACTAGTCAGTGATATTCAAAGCAGATATCACTAATCTCTCTCTTTTCTGTCATACACTCACACACACTCTCCTTGCTGTTCTACTCCAGGCCATTGAACGCATTCGGCAAAACAGATGAATTTCAAACAAAGGTGAATTAGTGTGTGATGTGTGTAAACTGGGAGTGTTGCCAAGCACAATGATCTGGTCTGATCCTTAGGGGAAATCACATGGCCATGTGTGTGTCAAGTCTTTTTGTCTGTTCTGATGCAGGTATGTAGGCTGGCCCTGAAAACCAACCCCCACACACATTATGTTGAAGAGATAGCAAATGTATATGTCATTTATGATTATTAACAATGGTACTTTCATTGTGTATGACACAAATTGAGAGATGCATTTAGAGCAATGTGCATAAAAACTCCCAGCTACAATCAATGAACCACATGCTTGCCTACCTCATAAAGACAATTTAGCTTTTTCTCAAGGATTTGTTTTTAAACTGTATAATTTTCATTTCAATACAAATAAATGAGAATGTGGGTTGGACTTGACAGCGTAAAATGTTTATTTATGGAGGCATCAACAAATAAAGTCAGTTGCATTGATGTGTGTGAAAAAACAGAAAAAGCAAGGAGACAATCAAAAGAGGAGAAAAGACGACTGGAGAGACCACCATTGTACATCTCTCTTTTGTAATTAGAGATGGACCCCCCTTGCTCAGATGTAAACACACACACCGCCCTCCCTCCCTCCCTCCGTGTTGAAGACCATCTGTCACTCGATGGCAACCCCGCCCACACAATCCAGTCAGCCAATGGGGAAGCAGAGAGCTCCCCACACTCATAGGCCATTAACCCCTAATCAGCTGGGGAGATTGAGCTGGGCAGTGAGCCAGAGACAGAGAGAGAGAACACACACACACACACACACACACACAAACA